GCAATTTTTTCACCTTGTTCCTTTTTTAGAATACTTCTAATGGTGCTATAATTCTTGGGTTCCATAGTAGATCTGATGTAAATGAGTTTCATATTAACTATTTTGCATAGGGATAGTTCTATATATCACTTAAAATAATGAATGGGATATTATAAAACTGTTAATTATGATCACATTACAAATGACTAAATTTTGATCCCTGAATTTTTGGCAATACCAATGTTCACTTTGTCTGGTTTTGTTGCAGTATGCCCCATATATAAAATTTGAAATCTTTGGTTCATAATGAGATCTTGCAGTTTGCAGAATTAACAGGATTATTTTTAACCAAAATAAAGTTTTCAACGAAAGGTATATATATTATCGCAAAATATTTTTTGGGTTTTACAATTATTTTTGATCATGTTATTATGCCCATTTTAAATAATTGAATTCAATATAAAAAAGATCGCCAATCGATTTTGTCACATGTGACAAATTCAAATGTCCGCCATGCTGAATGTTGGGTGGTTGGCACCATAGGAAAAATTTATTCTATTTTTAAAAAATAAAAAATATGGTAAATAAATAAATTACACTCTTTTATTTTAAGTTTATGTAATAATGATGATAACAATAATAATTAATTATATAAATTATATAAAATTCTTATAGTCAACACAATCACTTAGATTAGCTCCACCAGCATCTTCAACCAATTTGGAGAAAAGTGTCATCAATACTACAAATTCTTATGGTATTCATGATACTTTTCGCTTTGGTCCAAAATCTATTGAAAGTGATATTTCACCAACTCATCCACTTGAAAATAGATTAAAATATGTGCGTTTGTATAATGAATAAATGAAAATTTTGAATTTACATAATTATTTATTTTCCATTAATAATATTAGTGGGAAGAAACACAAAGTAATTTGAAACTTACATTACATCGAAAAGTTTATGGACTTCATGCACCAATAAGACAACTCATGGAACGAAGCATTGTATCAAAGGTAAATTCTGATTGATTAATAAATAAAGAATAAGAGTATGGAAAATATCTTATTAAACAATAATCATACTAATATTAATAACAATATTATTATAGGTACAAAGATTCCCAGTTTTAGAATCATCTAATCTTGGATTAGATATTTTAATGGGTAAAGATGAAACAATTGATTTTGAAGATTTCTTGAATGGTTCGTTTTTATAATTTCTAATGATTTTTCAAATTAAAATCACACAACTAATCAATCAATTGTTTGTTCACATTTTTTCAGATCCAAGTCAATCAACAGATATGATTGATATACATTCAGCAATGGAACATAAATATAACATCAAATTATAAATTCTCTTGATATTTTTGTTTTTTTTTTATTTAAATAAAAAAAGCATTTAAAATCATTGATGAATTCTCTTGATATTTTTATTTTTAAAAAATAAAGAAAGCATTTAAAACTACAATCTATAGGTGAAGGTTTCAAAAGTTTCCATCCCAGTTGAGCAAAGAATTCTTAAAAAAAAAATTTTTGCTGATGGAAATGAATAATTGCATATTCTTAAATTTGTCATCTCGTTGTTCTTAAATTCATCATTCAATCTTTATATTTTTTTGGTACAATTAATATTATTTTTTATGTATAAAACTAACACTTACTTCATTAATTTTATATACAAATTTTTTCTTTTATAAAAAAATCAAATCTTATAATTTCAAATATTTAAAAATAAACAACAATGCCATCAAAAACTTATTCAGTTTCCAATTATCAAAATCACAATTAGATGTTTTTCGATATAGCTCTTATTCGGTAGAAGAAACAGAGAAAAATACCAACCTTGTGAAAAGGTAAACTAACTTAACTTGCAAAGTTTTAAATTTCTAATTTACATGAATAAAAAATAAATAAATTTTTTAATAAAAGTTGGTGATTGATTAATAATAAAGATGTGATTAAAATCTGAAACCATTGCGAAAACATTTTTTGAATGAAATTTTTGATACTTTAGTACTTAAGATTTGATAAGAATTTTAATATCACCATTATTGAATTTACAGGTAATGAAAAACATTATATAATAATATACATTATCTTAAAAATGAAAGAGTTAAAGAGCTAAAATTACCCAATTTATTAAAAATAGTCTTCTAGTTTTATATGTAAATTGAATTGATTCTGAATCTACTACATTTGGGTTTTGTTGCACATGATTTGTGATTTGATTTAAATTTGATAATTCTTTTTCAAATCATGGACTGTCTGATTATGAGCAAGTGCATCTACTTTACTTACCACAAGTTTCATAAAGAATACTTCTGGATTAATGTTTTCTGGTAGCCACAATTACAGACTAATTCAAGTTAATCATAAAAAATTTGCATTAGTTAGAACAGATCTACAAATAAGATCATTTTCAGTATATTCAGTTCCAAGATTTGTTTTTCATGCAATGCGAATACCTGCAGCTGGTTTTACATTAGGGGTTGGTGGTTTGACATATGCAAATTATAAATTTAATGGTAAGTCAAATATATTTTATGAACAAAATGAAAAGTATTTTTACGTGTATGTAAATATTTATATATATCTATATATATATAATCTATTGTAGATATGGCAAATAAAAGTTCTGAAATACTTGGATCTCTAACGAATGGTGTAAAGTCTGCAATAGGATCAATTGGTGGATTAACAAATATGAATGTTGGAATAGAAATACCCGGTTTTGTAAAAAATATGTTTTCTAAAAATCCAACTCAATCAAAATCATCGTCAAATTCATTCAAGGCTGATTCAGATAGACCAAAGTTTATCAAAAAGGAGGATGAAGGCGATTCAGAATCATCTAGTGGTGGTAATAGTGGTAATAATGGTCCATCATCATCATCAGCTGCTGCTGCTGCAACTGCAGCTTCATTATTTATGACCGGAGAAAAAGATAATGATGAGAATGATGGTGAAGATTCTGGAGCACATAAAAATAAACGTGGTATTCCAGCACAAGATGATGAATTCATGGTGCTTACAAAAAAATTGATAGAAGTTCGTAATATTTTAATGAGCATTGATCATAAAGAGGCATTAAAATTACCAAGTATTGTAGTAATTGGTAGTCAAAGCTCTGGTAAAAGTTCTGTATTAGAAGCAATTGTTGGTCATGAATTTTTGCCAAAGTAAGGTTTTCCTTTTATTTTATTTTTTTCTTTGATTTTAATATTTAAATTTTAATATAATATTAAGAATATGCATATTTTTTGATTGTTTAACTGATTTTTCAGAGGATCAAATATGGTCACTCGGAGACCAATTGAGCTAACATTAATACATACGTCTAAATCTAAAGAAGAATATGGTGAATTTCCTCAACTTGGATTAGGAAAAATACATGATTTTTTACATATACAACAAACATTAC